TCACAGCCAGGAGGGCCGAGGGGTTCTGGAGGGAGCGGGGAGATCAGCCTCTTCTTGGGGCGACACCGACAAGGACCCAGAGTAAGGCATCTGCATCTGCTCGAGACCTGGGCTCTCCACCCTGGCAACTCCACGCGGGACAGTCAGGCCCACCTCTGAGAGAGCACAGACTGGGTAGAGTGAGCCTGGTGCCCGCCCTCCTGTTGCAGGGCCAGGTAAGCGGAGCTCAGCCCCAAGGTGTCAGCTCTGGTTTCTTACCTCTTATACCCTCTGTGCAGATGTCACAGGCGGCTCAGGGCGGCTCTCAGCTTCTAGAGGGTGACAGTTCCCCTACCACGTCCATCTGGAGCCCCTCAAATGCTTGGGGTCTCTGAGTCACCCTCTGCCTCTTGGGGTGGAAAGGACCCAGGGGATGTCACAGCCCCCCCTCCAGTGTGATCTCCCACCTAAGACCCTTCACGGGACCCCTCTGCAGAGCCCCCTGAGCCCTAGAAGGCACCATAGGCTGTGAGGAAATCGAAGAACAGGGTATCTCCACCACCAACCCCAGAGCACTAAAGCGCCAGCTGCCACCTGTGGGGAAATCAAGGCTCTTGAGTAACTAGCGGAGCGAGAGCACAGGGACAGGTTCTGGGAAGGGAGTCCCCCTGCCAGAGGGCATCCTCCTATTCGAGCTGGGTGGGTGGGGAGGGCCGACTGGGGTGCACATGGGCCCCACAGGTGGGGACAGTGAGGCCTCCTGCACAGGAATGTGGCCCTGGGTTTCCAGATGGGCTGGTTTTTCAAGAGAAACCATAGGTCTGGGTTGGGGGGTGACGTTCCCTGGTTCAAAGTGGGCAATTCACGCTGCCACATCTGGCCCCCTAGTGCTGGGCACCTTCCCTGGGTTTCTATGCAGCCTGGGCACTGCCACCCAACCCCAGCTGTGCCCTGAAATACCCCCAGGGTGACCCCGAGAGCCCCTTGCACCCACTGGGGGATCCAGGAGGCCTGAACTTGGGGTGAGGGTAGTCACTCTAAAATCTGAGGAGCACCCCAAAAATGCTCCTGGCTGGCTCATGTAGGCCTGAGCTATACCAACAGGCACTGAACCAAGACCCAGCCAGGCTAGGGCAGGAGACTCAGACACCCCACTTCTAAGGACACTCTGGTCACTCTGAGCGCCCCCTGCCCAACGAGCTCTGCTGGTCACCTCCATCCAGATCTGGACACCCCAACAGGTCCCACATCCCCACACAACACAGAGACCACTGAACACACGCTCCACCCACCCTGTTCCAGCCCACGGCGACAGGCAAGCACTCGCTCAGTGCACCTGACACCTGGGGACTGGCCCGTTTGGGGCAGGCGGCCAGGTGCTCCCGGACCCTGGGGCAGGGACTGTCTCTTCAGCTGTCAGTGTGTGGCCCGGCTGTCCTGCCCAACAGCAGTGAGTCAGTCTAGAAAGGTTTTACTGCGTGCCTGGACCCTCAGCCCTTCTGTTGTCCAGGGCCTTTGGCCTGCAGGGGTGGAAGACTCCCAGGAAAGCTAGTGACATTCCCGCAGGAATCTGGGCACATCACTGTCACTTTTGAAATAAATCACATCAGGGATCCAAGGCCAATGCCACTTCTTTCTGTTTCACTTAGGGATCTGTTCCTGCTTGGGACGGGCCATTGGCTCTAGGACTACTGACCTGCACCTGGGTCACCAGCAGCCCATGGCAAGGCCTATGGAACACCTGTCAAGACCCAGCCCCCCCCTCTTGGGGGATGTGGGTTCTGAAGTGGCTTTAGGGTCTGGATTTAGGACACAGGGAGAAGGCACCTGCAGAAATGAGCCACAAAACACCAACAGGGCAGGGCGTGGTCATCCCAGAACTCCAGAGGCTGAGGTAGGAAGACTGCAGCAAGTTCAAGGCCCGCCTGGACACATAAGTGAGTTTAAGGCCAGCCTGGACTATAGAGCAAAATGCTGTCTCAAAAACCAGAAAAACAAAAAACAACAAAAAAACAAAGACTGACTGCTGCTCTAGGGCAGTGGGCCCCATCTGCCACTCACCAATCTACCACTACTCCTCAGCTCTGAGCAGTGCCCAGCACAAAGCAGGGGACCAAGAACGCCTTCCTACTGCTAATGCCCCCCTGGGCCTGCACAGCAGAGGGCGCCCCCGCCCAGCTGGCCGCACAGCCTCCTCAGCACTGGGAGCTGCAGGCCACCATATGTGCTCAGGTCACTTCCTTGCCCCTTGGGTCCCAGTAGGTGTGAGTCTGGCCTCCAAGGGGCCCCATGGCTCCTGCCTGCCATCCAAAGCCCAGGGGAGTCGGAACCCCAGGCTACCGCCTCCTGCAAGGACAGAGTGTCAGGGAGAGACAGAAGTGCTGCTGACTATAGGCCCCAGGCAGGCAGATCCCATTCACCAGGAGTCCAAATCCCCCAGGGCTGCTCCTCCCACCCCAAGACAGCACTGGGAGGACATGGCCACGCCTCCCATGCAGGGAAGCAGGGGATCCGGAGCTGGCAGCCACCATCAGCAGAGACCACGAGGACATCTGTCCTTTAATCCCTCTAGGTCCACATTTAGGACTCACATCCGTGAGGGTGGGGGTTCACTCACAAGGCCAAGGCAGGACCCTGGGTGACCTCGGCCTTGGGGTGCAGCCAGCATCTAGCCATACCTGGCCCTCCCCACACCCCGTCCAATCACACAGCTCTCTGGTCTAAGCCTGCCCACCAGGAATCCCACAGACGCAGGCACAGGCGACACACACATCCCCACATGCACACACAAGTGGGTGTGCATGGTACCTGTGCATGCTCACACTGGCACAGGTGCCCAACAAGCATATATACCTGGCGCTTGCACACCCACAAACACTTGTGTTCTTACTGTGGGCACAAGTACACACATACAAAATCTGGGGCTGTGTTGGTGATGTGGGGTGCAGGGGCCTCCTCCACACAACCCATCTTGCCAACCTCCTGGTATCAGTACGCTGATTTCATATTCTGTTACACTCCCTCACCCACCAAAAACCGGGAAAGAAGCTGATCCCACCCTCGAAGGGCAGGCGGCCCCCAGGGACACAGATGCGTCTTTATTAGGCCATGCTCTCCTGCTGTGTCAGCGTTTCCTGCCAGGTCCCCTAAGGAGGGGTGTCTGTGACACTGCTGGAACTCAAACCAAGCCTAGGCTGGTCAATCCCAGGATTGGAAGGCAGGTATGAGACAGGCCTGAGGGCTGTGCCTTGACACACAGGCCAGGTACAGGCTCTCTGGGCCTCAGTTTCCCCATGAGGGTGGAAGGCAGAGGTTGGCCCTGGGACCCATGGCTGAAGCACTCAGGATGTGGACCAGCTCCTACACACCTGTTCCCTGCCAGACTTCAAAGCCCATGAAGAATCCCCCTAGAAAAGCCTGTCTGCCCAGCCCTTCTCCCTGCTGGAATCCTACTGCAAGCAGGTGTGAGCAAGAGCTGGGGGCCCCCAGGGCTGGCAGACCTGCTTCCACACTTCCCCTGCCAGGGAGGCCTGGGACCACCCCCACCCACCAGGGGTGTGAAAGGCAACTCCTCCCCACCTCTGGGGCCTCCCCTGGGAAAATCCAGGATGGAGACAACCCGCAAGGCTGGAAAAAGGAGGGCACGCTCAGGAAGAAAGGGTAGGGACGCCCGCAATGCATCCCCAGGGGGCCTACTCCCTACCACTCTTGAGGCATCAGCCCTAGAAACTCCTGGGGAGGGGTCCAGAGCTGACCAACACCCTAGAGCCAGCACAGCTGGAAACAGCTGGCCCATTCACTTTCACAGCCAGAAGCACTGCCCCTGGGAATTTCTCTGAGTTCAATTCCTGTCATCAGCAGGGCCCTAGGGTTCCTCCCCTCGGGTGCCAGGCTCCTGGCCTGCCCTTCACCTCACCTGACAGCAGGTTCACGAAATTCCCAGCTCAGGGCACCCCCTTGCCACACTGGGCAACATTCACCACCCCCCAAACTGCCAACAGGGGTCCCACAGCTGGCTCCAGGGCCAGGCACCCTGGTTCATCACTGGCAGGGTGCAGCAGATGGCATCGATCTCTCCTGGGCAGGAAGGACATTCCAGAGAACGTGTGACCCACAGGCATTCCAGGAAGCGGAGCCCGGGGATGCCCTGGTGGCACAGTCTACACACTGAATTTTTCTTTTAACTTCACAAAATCACTTCATCAAGGGAGACAGCCCCTGCACCAGAAGCTGCAAGGCTCCCGGACCCCACAGCCCAGGCCACTCCGGGTTCGTCTCTGCAGGCCCCACTGGGCTCCTACCCAGGACCTGGGGTGCTCCTGAGAGCTATAACGGAGCAGGACGCCCCTGGGGGCGCTCCTCTGCCCCATCAACCTCACCGGCCCTTAGAGTTCCTCCGGTTCCAAGCCACTCGGGCTGTTACTCCACCCCACCGGCTGGGCAAGCCCCGCGAGGACGCCTGGGGTCTGCTATGCCCAGGGAGCCTCCTTCCAAAAGGGACGGGGGTGGTGATTCCCAGCGGAGACAGTCCCCAGGGCTGAGGACCGGGAGTGTTGGGAGCAACAGGGTCAGGGGTGGGGCGGAAGGGGTCCTAGATCCCCAAGGAGCCTGGGGTCTGGGACGACCGGGACAGGAGAGACTTGGAGTGATCCAGAGAAAAGGGCCAAAAGATCCACAGGGTTAAGGGTCACAAGGAGTAAGATGTCAAGAAATCAAGGAAACACGAGTTCAGGGTCACCAAGGGGTTCCAGCGTCGCCGAGGAATCTGGGATCAAGGATTCCCAAAAGGAAAGCTCGGGGCCAACACGGAACGCCGCACAGCGAAGCCGGGAGAAGAGCGGGCGGGGGTCGCGGCGCGGGCAGGGTCAGGGGTCGCAGAGGGCGGGGCCGGGAGGGGTCGCCGCTGCCCGCGCCCGGCGAACCCCGGAACCCCGAAAGGGAGCACGACGCCCCTCGCGATGGGCCGTACGGGGTAGCGGAGGGGCTGGGTCCGCGGCAGGAGAGCTGGCCGGACCCCTCACCTCGGAATCGGGTGCGACCGGACGCGGAGCTCACGACGCCTCAGTTTCTCCGAGCCTCTTAGCGGCTGCCGCTCACTTCCGGGTTTCGGGCGCCATCTTGGGGGCCTCGCGTACTTCCGGTCACGCCGTGGGGCGGGGCTTTGTGGGGGCGGGGTCTTCAATAAGCGTGGGTGGTGGGCGTGGTTTGTGTGCGAATCTGGCCCGGCGCAGTGCTGGAGATCCAGGCTTGTTTCAGCTTCCCCAGCCTCAGATTCCTCCCCTGCAACACGCGGGGAATTCGACCCTGCTTTGCTGTGCAACACAGCTCCTTCCTCAGCCCCCTCCGCGCCTTTGCACACGCCAAGCTCACCACTTGCAGCCCGTGTTTCTCTACCTTTACTGCCTCGCCTCCAGTAGTTCTAGTAATCACCCATGCATCTCTCTCCTCCAGAATACAGACCAAGGGCCAGCCACCATGCTGACACACACAGGGTCCAGAGGTTACCCCAAGAGAGCTAGGTCCTTTCAGGCACGGTGGGGGCCCTGTACCCTTCCCCTCACAGGCTTCCAGCGGCCCAGTGAAAGCTGTCCGGATTTGCCTGTGCGAAGAAGGAAGTGAGGCCTGGCTATGATCAGAGCCCAGGAACACACAACTTTCAAGACCCTATGAAAAATGAAAGCACGGGGACCTCAATGCAAAAATTATTAAGAATTACCAAGCGTGGTACTACACACCTATAATCCAGCTACTCAGGAAGCTGAGGCAGGAGGATCTCAAGTTTAAGGCCAGCCTGGAGCTGGTGGGCCAGGCCTGTGCAGACACCTTCTTTCCAGCCTGGTGTCAGAGATGACTACACAGTCACCTGGACCCAACTCAATATCAGCAGACACCTTCTGACCCCATTCCAACCTCAGAGTTGGAGTTTGCTTATCTATGACCACGTTTTTTTCATTCAGCAAACTTGGAGCTATGCCTCTCTGACAGGCCTCAGCCTAAGCAAAGTTGCAGCCCAGAGAGAGCTCAGTTCTCTGGTCTGCCCCGAGAGAGCGAGCCAGGACCAGGCACTCCCACAGGCACCATAAGGCCTAGAGCCTGAGGAGGCATGAAGTCTCTGCATAGCGCCTCATAGATGGCTGCATGGTAGAGAGCATACTGAAGCTGGGGTTTTGAAATTCAACTAGGAGTTTGCCAGATAGCGATAGGAACAGTAATCCAGGCAAAGTAAAAGCTGTTTAAAGACCTGGTCTGAGGGCTGGGAATTTAGCTCAGTGGCACAGCACCTGCCTGGCAAGCACAAGGTTGAGAGTTCAATTCCCGGTACCGGAAAAAAAAAAAAAAAAAAAGGACCTGGTTTGACATGGAACCAGCAAACAGAATTTAGCTAAAGGTTTCCTGTAACCCGACATGAAAGGAAAAGGGACAGATGGGTGAACTGAGGGCCAAAGAGGAAAAATGATTTATCCAGAGCAAGCTGCACTTTGAGATGCTATTTTGGGAAATTTGGGTTACAATCTTGACTGTGAAGTTATTTTACTTTTTCTTAATTTTCTTTTTTTTTTTTTTTTGAGGGGGGATCACTAATCCAACACAGGGCCTCATGCATGCTATGCTGAAACCCTCTTCCAAACTTAATGCACAGGGCAGGGGATATAGCTCAGCGGCACAAGCGCCAGCCTAGCAAGCACAAGGTCCTGAGTTCCAGTACCACAAAAACAAGCAAGCACAAGGTCCTGATTCCCAGTACCACAAAACCAAAACAAAAAACAAAGTTTATGCACAGTAGTCACATAGAGCACCAGACACTCAGATTCAGAGGGTGGATAAGCTGGCGTGAAGGGTGGATGATGCCCGGTCCCTCTTTCTCATTTTCTCCCACACAGGACCCATGTGGCCCTGTGAAAAATGAAAACACAGGGACCTTAATGCAAATTGTTCTGTTTTGTTTTGTTATTTGTCTTTTTGAGACAGGGTCTTCCTATGCAGTTCAGGCTGGCCTTGAGCTCACTTTGTAGCCCAGGCTGGTCTCAAACTCAAAACAATCCTCCTGCCTCAGCCTTCCGAGTTCTGGGATTACAGGCGTGCGCCACCATGCCTGGCCTTAACGCAGAATTTTAAAAGTACCAGACAGAGGCCCATGCCAGTCTTCTCAGCTGCTCAGGGGGCTGAAGCTGAAGGATCTCAAGTTTAAAGCCAATTTAAGCAACTTAGTGAGCACCTGCTTCAACATGAAAGGGTCTACCCTAAAATCCTAAAAGGGTCGGGGATGGAGCTCATTGATGAGCACTTGCCTAGCATGTGGGGGACCCTGGGCTATGTCCCAGCATTGAAAACAAAAAAATAAGGACGAAAAAAGAAAAGAGAAAGAAAAAAAAATTTTAAAAGAAGCCAGTGACAAGGCGACTGCTCTGGGGTCCTCTGCCCAGGCATTGGGCTGGAGTCACATGGAAGCCCTGAGAGAGGGACTGGTATTACCTGCCTTCCACAGGCAAGGAAACCAAGACGCAGAAATGGTCTGTGGCCACTCAAAGGTCACCAGTGAAGCCTGAAAAAGACATGGATTCGGCCTGTGCCATGTCTGCCTCAGCAAACTGAGCAGCTGTCTTGGCTCCTTCTGCCTGAAATGGGGCAGTTTGCTGGGGCCAGGCTGGGTCGAGCTGGCTCAGCAAGCAGGAATGTGCAGAGACCCAGGACATCTAGGGAATTAGTCACATTAGGGGATTTCCAAGGAATCGAAGAGTTGGCCTTGGAGAAGACCAGGGACCCAGCTCTGGAGCTCTGGGTGTGGTGCTGCCTCTTGCTGTGTGACCCTGGGGAAGTTAGATAACCTCTCTGTGTATGCATTGCCCCCTTTTATAAAATGAAAACAGGAGTAGTGACAGTAGCTACCAGCTGGGTTATTCAGATTCTTTTTTTTTTCTTTTTGAGACAGGGTCTCGCTATGCAGTTCAGGCTGGCCTTGAGCTCACTTTGTAACCCAGGCTGGTCTTGAACTCGCAACAATCCTCCTGCCTCAGCCTCCCCAGAGTGCTGGGACTACAGGCGTGGGCCACCACAACTGGTCTTTCTTAAATATTTCAAATGGTGGAAAACTCCAGCAAAACCCGAAGGCTGTTGATAAGGAGATTCTCAGGCCCTCAGCCTGCCCACACTGGAGCACATGCTCCCCGCCTCAGCTTCACTCCCTTTTCTGCCCAGCTGGTGGTAAGGAGACGGGTGGGTGCAGGGAGAGGGGGACGGTGTGGGGGGAGCAGCGGCTCCAGTCCTGGGCAGGTGAGGAGGGGCAGGTGCCCCTCGCCGGGCCCAGCCCAGTGGGAGCGGCGGGACAGGAGTCATTTCCTGTTTCTCCTCGACCTGGAAAGTCCCGGCCATCCCAGCCGGCCGCGGGGCCCCTCCCTCCCGCCACCCATGGCCACTTCTGCTTTCCATGCCTGCTTCCTCTCAGCCAGGGCCTGGCCCGCCCCCTGTGCCTGCCTGGCACGCGCGGGGGAAACCGAGGCAGGAGCAGCTATGCGCTGGTATGCCCGCCCCTCCCCCGGTTCCCTCCATTGCTCACTATCTCTTTCTCTGTGGGTCTCTGCTGCTCTTTGTTTTCCAGCATCCTCCGCCTCTGGCTGGCTCTCTATCTCTGTTCTCTGTCTCTGTCTCTATGTCTCTCCCTATCGCTATCTCTGTCTCTCTGTCTGTTTTGGTTTTGTGTTTTTTTTTTTTTTTTTTTTTTTTTTTTTTTTTTTGGTTTTTCTCCGGTACCGGGAACCGAACTCACGACCTTGCGCTTGCCAGGCAGGCGCTTTTGCCGCTGAGCTAAATCCCCAGCCCCTCTCTGTCTGTTTATGTCTCTGGCTGGCTGTCTCTTTCTGTGTCTCTGTGTGTGTTTCTATTTTTTCTTTTCTCTCTCTCTCTGCTTTTGCTTTTGAGACAGGGTCTCTTATGTAGTTCAGGCTGTCTGTGAACTCCTTATATAGCTCAGGCTGGTCTCAAACTCATGGTGATCCTCTTGCCTCAGCTTCCTGAGTGCTGGAATGACAGGCATGCGCTATGACCCCTAATCTCTTCCTCTCTCACTCTCTGGCTCTCAGGTCTCTCTGTCTCCGTCTCTCTGTCTGTATCTGCATCTCTCCCTGCTTCCTCCCCAAGCGACCCTCCACTGTGAGTCCCACGCTCCCGCCCAAGCCCACCTGGCTGGCTCCGGGATCCTTGGCTGAATTGGCCCCAGTGCTGTGTTTGCCTGAGGCTCCCTCCTTGATCCAGCAGCTGCTAGGCTCCGGGCTGTGTCAGTGCCAGGACGACGTCAGGGAGTCTAGCCTTGAACCCGCTGGACGAGTTTAAATCTGCAGGGCTGGGCCTTCCACCCCTGCTCTGGGCACACATAAAACCCCCATGGGTCAGGGACACAGCCAGGGGTGTGTGCAGGGCCTATGAGGATCTTTGGTCTTGGGACTGGGAAAGGGGACAGTGGTACAGTGGGGTCCCACCCTGGGCAATTGGGAGCCATGGAAGGTTACAGAGCAACAGGGTGGCACAGTCAGGTGGAACCAGCGGCCACTTGTCTGCCATCCTGTGCTGGATGGGGTGGGGCACAGAGGTGGCATTTGGAGTCAGGTTCATCTGGGGACAAGAACTAAACCAGAGAGGCTGAGCTGCTGCCCCTAAGTTGGAAAAAAGGAGGTGAACTTGGAGGGTCTTCCATCAAGGGCTGAGAGTGAGCCAGGCTGGGACTGAGGACATGTGGGGGAGGGTAAGGACCTCAGGGTGACCCCTCTCCTCCTACTCTGCACCCAGCCCCAGGTCAAATGGTGGTGAACACCTGGCCAAGTGGTGTGGCTCCGTCCCCAGGGCAATAGGGAGCTGTGGCAGGCTCCAGAGAACTGAGGCGGTACAGTTTGGGAGGGGGCAAAGCAATGGGAACGGAAGCCAAGGAGGAGCATATGCAGAACAGAGCAGGTTGTGCTGCAGGGCAGAGATTGCACCATATCCCAAGTATGTTCCCGGCCCCCAAAATCATCACCAGAGCAGCCTGGTGCTGATTCGCATCAAGTTGGGAGCAAAACTCCCAGTGTGGTGGTAAGTGCCTGTCATCCCAGGATTCTGGGAGGCTGAGGCAGGAGGATCCCAAGTTCCAGTCCAGCCCGGGGAATTTAGAGATTTAAGAAGACCCTGTCTAAAATTTTATTTTTTATTTATTATTATCATTATTATTATTATTTGCCTTTTTGAGACAAGGTCTCACTATGCAGTTCAGGTTGGCCTTGAACTCACTTTGTAGCCCAGGCTGGTCTTGAACTCAAAACAATCCTCCTGCCTCAGCCTCCCAAGCGCTGGGATTACAGGCGTGCACCACCATGCCCAGCCTCTCAAAATTGTAAAAAAGTATGGGGAAAGGTCCCAGGAGGCAGGCGAGCCACGGCTGCACCCACCAGGGTCCCCTTGCTGCACGTGTGGCCACCCTGGGACTTTCTAGATGGGCACCTAGGATGGGCGCCACCCAGCCCCAGGGAGATTCCAAAGACTGGTCCTAGTGACTCATTCTAGAACCAAGGGCTCAATGGCTCGAGAGCTGCATTTGCAGAACCTTAGGCCTCCACTGCCAGCTCTGGGCCTGGCTCCTAGGGAGTCCCACAGGGCGCGGGAAGAACTGGACTTCCCCAGGCTGGCGACCCAGGGGCAAGGACCAAGTTTCTCCCCCTGCTGGTCATTGCCTGTCCCTGCCGCTGCAGGAGAGGTTAGCAGAGGAAAGCAAGAATTAAGACTTCCAGGGTTCAAATCCCATGTCTTCCATCCACAGCTATATGACCCCAGGCCCATCCATAAGATGAGGATAATTGCTAGGCACAGTGATGCACTGTCACCACAGCCTTCTAGGAGGCTGAAGCTGGTCGATATGTTCCAGCCCAACCTGGGCAACTTCATCGTTCAACCAGACCCTATCTCAAAAGAAAAACAAAAAATGGCTGGGATGGAGTTCACTGTAAAGGTCCTGAGTTCAACCCCCAATACTACAGAATAAGAAAAAGCAGGGGAGGAAAAGGAGAAAAAAGTAAAGATAATCACAGTACCTCTCAGAGGGTTTTCGCAAGACTTTTCGAAGTACCAATGTGTGTTAGGCAGTTGGAGTAGGGTTTGGAATATGGTGAAGACTTTAAACTGAAAGAGAAATCATAGTACTACAATTAACAACAGTGAAAAGTTAAAAATAGCCAGACATGGTGGCTCACCCCTGTAATCCCAGCACTCGGGAGGCTGAGGCACGAGGATCACTGCGAGTTTGAAGCCAGCCTAGGCTACAAAGTGAGCTCAAGGACAGCCTGAACTGCATAGTGAGACCCTGTCTCAAAAAGACAAAAAACAAAACAAAACAAAACAAAACAAACAAGCCAACTGTCCATCAGTGACAAATACATACTCTGAGGTCTGTCCACACACTGGAATACTACTCAGCCAGGAAAAAAGAGGGAGGTTGTGACACTCGACACAGCTCTGAAGGACCTTGAGGATACCATGCTCAATGAGAGACACCAGACACAGAAGGGCACACAGGGTGGGCTACATGGACAGGAAACGCCCAGGACAGATAGATCCAGAGACGGGAAGTGGACTGGTGACTGTAGGGAGTAGGGAGGGGACAGGTGACCACTCATGGGCATCCACTGGGATTTCAGATAATGGTGGTTGCATATTGTGAATAATAGCAAATGACACTAAAGTGTTCACTTTAAAATGATGAATTTTGCTGAGCATGGTCTCTAATCCCAGCACCTAGGAGGCTGAGGCAGGAGGATCATTGCGAATTCGAGGTCAGCCTGGGCTACAAAGTGAGCTCAAGGCCAGCCTGAACTGCATAGTGAGACCCTGTCTCAAAAAGACCAAAAAAAAAAAAAAAAAAGGAAAGACGAATTTGAGCTGGGCGAGTTTGCACATGCCTGTAATCCCAGCACTTGGAAGGCTGGGGCAGAAAGATCACCACGAGTTCAAGACCCTGTCTAAAAAAAAAGATAAAATGATTAATTGGGCCAGGCATGGCAGCACATGTCTGGAGTCCCAGCACGCTGGAAACTGTGGAAGGAGGATAAAAACTTCAAGACCATTCTGAGAAAATTATCAAGACCTTCTCTCAAAATTTTAAAATTTTTGTAAAGGGCCAAGGAATGTAGTAGCTCAGTGCAATGGCCCTGGGCTCAATCCTCAGTGCTGCAGAAATAAACACACAAAGGGCCTGGGTTGTAGCTCACTGCTGAGTGCTTGCCTAGCATTTGCAAGACCCTGGGTTCCATCCCCAGCAGTGCAAAAAATAAAAATAAAATAAAGTTTCCATTCTGATTCCCACTATCCCACACGGGCATGGCTCCCGGAAAGCCCAGTGTAGACTCCTGCAGGAACCAGCTTCTGTATCTCGAAGTACCCCAGCTATGTCTTGTCCCCCATTTTTGCTTTGTTTTTCTGAGACAAGTTCTCTCTATGTTGTCCAGGCTGGCCTCAAACCCACAGTGACCCCCTTGCCTCAGCCTCTTGGGTGCCTGTCCTCTGTATTGGTTAGACTGCTGGTTGCTAGTAACAGGAACTTAAACTGACTTTTTATTCCTGGAACTAAAAAGCCTAGGAAGGGATCAAACTCAGAATCTCTTTTCCTCAGCACTGTGGAGATTTTTTTCTTTCTTTTTTTTTTTTTGAGACAGGGTCACTATGCAGTTCAGAGTGGTTTTGAGCTCACTATGTAGCCCAAGCTGGCCTCTAACTTGCGGCAATCCTCCTGCCTCAGCCTCTCAACTAAGCATTGTGGACATTTTAGGCTGACTCAGGTCAGTGTCCTGAGTGCTGCAGAATGTGGAGCAGTGTCTCTAGCCTCTACCTCCTTCTGTTTTTGTTTTTTGACTGGTGTCTCCATAACTTGCTAAGCTGTTCCAACTGGGCTCCAGCTTGTGAGCCGCCTGCTTTAGCCTCCCTGATGCTTAGATTCCAAACCTGTGCTACTGTGCCTAGCTTTCTACCTCCTCAAGGTCTATAGCTCCCTCTACCCACTCATAATGACCAACATGTAGCTTGTGACATTGCCAGCTGTCCCTTGTGGGTCGCAATTGCTTTTGAGTGAGTCCTAGTGGTTTAGCTAGTTTCAGGCTTGGCTGGACCCAGTACCCTCAAAGTCCCAAGGATTTGCCCACCTCTTTATTCTCTAGCTCTGCTGTTCTCCCTTGTTTTTTTTCTCTAATGGGTTTCCCCTTTATGGGGATAAAGATGATGTTCCAGCCCCAAACTTCAGTCCCACTTCAGCTTATAAACTCTAACAGAGTGAGGCCCAGGGAAGATTCTCACTGGCCCAACCTGGGTCACATGCACTTATTGAGCCAATTACTGTGGCTAACTAATGGAACGTCCTGATTGGCCAGGCTGGGATCACATGGCTGTGTGTAATCATATTATTGGGTACAGACTGTATAGACGGAAGTGTGAGGGCTGGGGGTGTCGCTCAGTGGTTAAGTACTTGCCTAGTATGCACAAAGCCCTGGGTTCCATTGCCAGCACTGAAGAAAAGGAGAAGAAGGAGAAAGAGGGGAAGGAGGGGAAGGAGGGGAAGAAGGGGAAGAAGAAGAGGAAGAAAGGAAGTCAGCAGGTGAGAACAAGCAAGGAAAGTAAAAAAGTTTTTAAAAAATCATAGGAGCAAAGTATGGTGGTGCACATCAGTAGTCCCAGCACCCTGGGAGACTGAGGCAGGAGGGTTACAAGTCTGAGCCCAGCCTAGACTATATAGCTAGAGCCTATCTCAAAGAAGCAAAATAGTAATTTATTAGTAGACACTGAATTTCATGTATGTAGCTATTTTGAGTACCCACTTCAGTGGTATTTAGTGCGTCTCGCCTGGTGGCTGTGCACTGCTCCCATCGTCCACTTCTGTCTCCCCCAGCTGAGCCTCCGTCCCCAGGAAACGCTGACTCCCATCCCCACCCCAGTCCAGCCCCACCCGCCTCCCTGTCTACGTGGCTCTGACGACGCTGGGCCCTCCTGGGAGCGGGACCCTGCAGTGCATGTCCTTCCGAGTCTGGCTCAGCTCCCTGAGCAGCCTGGCCTCAAGGTCTGTCCATGTGATAATGTGTGTCAGAGCCTCGTTCTTTTTCATAGCTAAGTAATATTCTATTGTACGAATGAACCACATTTAGTTTAGCCATTTTTCGGTCCCTGTGGATAGGCATTTGGGATTTGGGCTCTTTCCATTTTTTTAATAGGGTAGAGGCGTTAAGAGACAGGGTCTTGCTATGTATTCCAGGCT